ATGTTATCAAGGAAGCACTTTCAGATATTGTTCACCTGAGCTTAGCTATGCAAAATATTTTGAAAGGCAATTAAGCAATATTCCTCAAAAGTTAAATATGCATTCATTAGACCCAGAAAGACACTTTTAGGAATTATCCTGGCACAAATACAAATGTTATTCATTGATAAATTATTTGCAAAATAATAAGGAAATATAAATGAAAACCCATAATTTATCCACATTATGGAATACCATAATTCAGCTACTAAAAGGAATGAAGAAATCCTAAAGTGACATAGACATCTCCAAGTAGATACTCCAGGTAATTAGATTAGGTACTCTAGGAAATTAATATAACTTCAGGTAACTAATCTAACACCAGATTAGACAAAAAAAGTAAGTTACCTGTTATGAATGATAATAATCCTGTTTGGGTTAAGGACAGGAGAGATATGTGAAAGTGAATGCAAGTGTAGTTGTGCATAAAAAGTTCAGGGAGAATATAGAAGGCATTTATGCATTATTTTATGCACTATTTCCATAATAGAAAGGAAAGAGGAAAGAATACAAGTTTAGTGTTTGTCTTTAGGACTTATCACAATCCACTCATTCCACAAACTGAATGTGTACTAGTTAATATACTAGTTAATTAACACAGCTCCACCTCTTCAAACTCAATTGTACCTTTTCTGTCTATCATAGAAGACAAGGTTCAATGAATGCAAACATTTGGATATTTGTCTTCAAACCTTTTTTATTTACTACTTGCTGGAAAAATCTCTGAGAATGAAGTAGAAGTGTCTGGGATGTAGCTGTGTAAGTCCCTGGGACTCTGCATCTAGTATGAACACAGATTTGTAATTGCAATGCCTTATACTTAAACAATGCCTTATACTTATGTTACATAACAGGTCTTACAGAAGCTGTTGACTATTGTTGCTTCAGAAATGTGGAGCAGTAGAATGGGTTGTGCTTGAAGTTTAAAAAAATAATCTCTAATAAAACTGGCATTCATTATGTGTGTGGACCTCTGGGCTTTTCCAAGTTAGAGTGTTACATTGTTAGGAAAGTAACTCAATCAGAGACTTTGAGGAATTGTATTTAAATGCTAAAGTTGCCTTTGATTTAAACAACAACAATAACAAGAATCATAGCAATAACAAAAACTAGCAACAGAAGAAACTTATAGAATGTGCCCTAAGTGAAAAGCTAAGAGGAAGATTTAAGATAAATATTTACAATTTGTTTCTATCTGTGTTGTCCTTTCCTTGTTGGACTCCACTAGAGTGGAGTCTATCTAGGGGTCAGGGCTCTAGCTTAAGAAGTAGTTTTGAAATTTCTGTTCTTTTTTCACTTAATACTCAAGTAGAGTAAATATTATCAGAGCCTTTGTACTATGGGGTTCATTTGAGTATTTGGGCTAGGAATTAGAACTTGAAAAACGCAAAGACTAGTTAAGATAAGAGTTCAGTTTGAATGGATCATCTGATATGAGAGACGTCATTGTAGTTATAAAGAAAATAGAAAAAACAGATTAATGAGTTCTTATATTTAATTAAGAAAAAGAAAAAAGAGTAACACTGGAAATGAAAGTATCTCTCTGTGATTTTGGAGAGAACATAATTTTCTTCTTCAATGGACTTGATAAATACGCTTTCTTTTCTGGTTTCATTTTGCCCATGGCTAGTTTGTCTTGTGGGACAATATATTCTGCACTCCCAATGATCAGCTTTTACAGTATTGTCATGCTCATTTGTTTTTTAAAGAAAAGAACCAAGGGCTTCCTTTTGTCTGCCATCATGATAAATTGTCAATATAAGAACATTCTACTATGATGAATGTGACACAGCCATCTGTAGGCCTGACCAAGCAAGAACTTTGGGATCACCTTGTGTCCCTCCTCTTTTGTCTTCCATATCAAATGTGTTTATTATTTTCTAAATATCTCTGTAATTTGTTCCTCTTTTAGTCTATCTCTGTGTCACACACAGACAATCTCTTTATTACGCCATTGTAAACTTTATCATCACTTTGCTTCTAGTCTTGAACTGGAATTCCATCTCTGACTGCTCTCAGTTGTCTGAAATTTGTTTTCTTACCTTTTCTCCCCTTCCCCTACCCTCGGGCCTGTCATAAGAGATTTTGTGTACTACTCTGACATAGATTAATATTGATATGCTCAAGATACAATAAAGATGACCCAGGATCTGAGACCCTTCTTTGGTACTTTACATCTCTCTTTAAATGTCAATTCTTTAAATTCAACTTGGCAAAGAAAACATTGACCATTCTCCTACCTCTCCACCCTACTTTTAGCTGTATCAGTCTGCTCTATTCTTCCCATCTCCATAAATGTCAACACCTTCTACTTAATTGCAGTCCTGGGTGTGGTCTTTGATTTGTACAACTCCCTAATTCCCAAGTCATATCAACCATCTTTAGCTCCACCTCTTTGGCAGCTCTTGGCTTATCTTTTATCACTACCTTATTGTTATCGTCTTGGTTCCAGCTCAACTATCTTGCCTGGAATTTTTTTTTTTTTGTCTAGATTGTTTCTCTGCAATCTACTTCTCAATGTTACACAGAGAATGATTTTTCTAAATCTTCAAATATGCATTCTTTTGCTTGAAATCCTTCAATGCTTTCTTATTATTTTTGTAGCAAATGTGCATAGCTTATAAAAACTCATTATAGTCTAGCTCCAGCTTGCCTCTCACGCAGTCTTTCTCCTCACATAGTCCACTCCCACTCAGCACACTCTGGTCATCAGAATTCCTTGAGTACACAATGCTCTCTCTTTCCTTGGATTCCCCTGGCTTACATTCCTTCTTCCTAAGTCCCTTCTCTCCACAATCTCAATTCATCCTCCTCTCTGCTATTTGTACTTCAGCTTTCAAATCTCAATTTGACTTTCTGTTTTGCCCCAGAGATTTCATTGAACACACAGTTCAGGTTGGACTTTTCTCATTGCTCCTCTGATCTCGTCTACTGGTCTCGTTCCTCTCAACAACCTTTTGTTGTTGTTGTTTATAGTTAACTATTGAAAGTGCCTGTTTTTTTTTTTAAATTTTTTAACCACATTGCCTAGAACAAAATACCTGCTCCGGAACCTTCCTTGATTAGTGAATTAACACATACTTTGGGACAGGTCGTGCTCACTTGCTAAAATTGTCTTCTATACACACTTGCTGATTTGGTAAACTTATCCCTCAAGCCTCAACATCATGACTTCAGAATTTTCTAAAGGAATCACAGAGCACAGATCTCTGTAGCTTTCATTCTTCTTCCCCAATATTGCTTTTTAGCAAAGGAGTGATTTCTGAATCTGTTTGCACATCAGACTTCAACTTTTCTGATGGCAGGAGCTGTTTTTTCTTCTATAAGTACTAACATCTATTACACAGAAGCAAACATATGCTCAAAACTTTCTTAGAGTAGGAGGGATAGTAATAATGAAGTTAGGGCCAGGCATAGTGGTACACACCCGTAATGTCAGCTACTTGGGAGACAAAAGTAAGAGGATTATAGTCTAAGACCAATCTGGATGAAAGCATAAAATCTTGTCTGGAAAATACCTAAAGCTAAATTAATTAATTAAGTTTTATTAAATTAATTAATTACTTAAAACATGGATAGGGATCCATACATAGCCTGGCAAGTATAAAATCTTGTGTTTTTACTCTGGTGCTGCCAAACATAATAAATACTTGTTGAAAAGAAAGAAAACAAAAGAGAAAGAGGAGAGAAACTGAGGCTGGATATGATTTTCTTCTGAAGGTAAAAATGTACTGGGTTTAAGAAAATTCCAAAAGAAGTATCACATTTGATTTGTTGGTAGATGTGTCTCATAATAATAGTCGTTTATGTGGTCATTAGTAGAACTCGCAATACTTGCTAAATGGCATGCCCTGAGGTTCTCTTGCTACACTGTGTTCTTTGCTGAAATATAGCTAAGGCTCCATCATAGGGGAATGGTCTATACTCATATTTGGACTACCCCAAAGCAATCTTCAGAAGTAAAAGATAAATTCACACCATCATAAAATCCTTTCAAAATCAATATGGAAACCATGTTAACACAATGCAGGCTCTTCGTAGAGCTCTAGTTATTTTCTAGTTTGTCTTTTTCTTTCATGGGAAAACAAGATGGCCTAAACTGTGGGAGCTTATGTGCTCTGGGAGAAACATTTGGCTGTTTCTGAAGAAATACTTAATGATCGTAGTGTATTGGAATTGTTGCTGACAGGTAATCTAGTGATAAGAGTCCAGAAATACTGTTAAATTTCCTACTATACATAGACTAGTCTCCAGTGAAACATACGAGTAGGGCAACAATTGGGAAGCCCTCACCTAGATAATAAAAAATGTCATTTTTTACTCAGACACACTTTCTTATTTCAGGAAAGAAGATAGATAATACTCCTACTACTAAAACCCAAGTACAATCATGCTTTTTAAAAAGAACTCTGTAAACATTTAATGATTGAGCATACATTTTGGAAATTTGCTTCAAACTGCAACAAGCTTAAATAAATATTTATAATATACAAAGAAAATACAACCAAAATAAAACTTGCTTCAAGTGTGCCTTGCTTTTACATTTTGATATTTTTTCTTTACAATGACATGGTGTGTACCACCATGCCTGGCCCTAATTTCATTATTACTGTCCCCCCTACTTTAAGCAAGTTTTGAGCATATGTTTGCTGCGGCATAATAGATGTTAATGATCTCATGGGATCATTATGTAAATTAAACATAGCTCTGTACAGAAAATCTTAAGTCCCATGTCTGACAATTACTAGTTGCTTAATAAATGTTCATTTAAAAACAACCAAAAACAATTCCATAAGCATCCAGAGGATGGAGTTCAGCAGGTGGAGATGAGTAGAATTTATTCAGAATAGACCTTGTGTGTGTCATTTTTTTTCTAGGCTCTGTACCCTGTGTCACACTTCTTGAGAAGATTTTAGAGAAGCATAAGCATTGGCAAAATTGGAGGAGGGGCACATACGTACTTTTTGTTCTTCTCTCTCTACAGCTCCATTGCACTTCTCGAATCCCCAGTTTCTCATGAAGTCTCTCAGATAACCAAACAGGGCTCCAATTCCATAGCCCATGTAAGTTAAAACCAAAGTATAGAGAGGCGCTTCCTCTAAGGGCTCAATAGCGGTCTTGTGAACACAGGGCTTCCCATTTTGCTGAAAATAGAAAAGAAAATCCAAGATGAGCAATTTCCAATTAGAAGTATACAATGTGGCTTGGAAGCTTGAACTTTCAGTCTTTAAAATTTGAAAGAATGCACTTAAGATCATAAAAGCTGCTTGGGAAAAAAACTAGAAATTAATCATTGAAAAGGATAAACAGAATTATTTTATACCCTCTAATGAAATGAGTGTTATTGACTTGAACTTCTTATCATAGTAGAAGGTGAAATAAGATTCATTTAAGGAGAGAGAATTTTCAAAAGATACTAAAGCCATTATTAGCTGAAAAGCTAATGATGACAAGGGAAAAAGATTGTGGGGCAAAGTGCTTTTATGGGTACCATGGGAAAGAAGGATATATAAAGGTGGCTTGGTTTCAATTAGAATCTTGTTTTAAACTGTTCACACAGGAATCATTTGGCTGATGTATAGGAGGCTAGATTGTACAGGAGCATGTGAAGAAATAAAATTCATTGGCACTCAAGGCCAGGCTAAGAGGATGATCAATTTGCCATTCTCCTGCATTTCCATCTTTATAAACTCTTCATGTGGCTGAATTAAGTAGAGAATTTCCCTTGAAATTCATGAGCAATATCTGAATTAGCTCTGAAGCAAGCTTGCTTTGTAAGAACAGATGGTCCACCTATGTGTAACACAGGTTAGGCGTGAATAACTATTGTTTTGTACCTGTGATGTGTTCTGCAAAAATATTATGACAAAGCAGACATTTTCAGCAATGTGCATTAGTCCCCACCAATGTCTTCTTTCATTTCTCTTGTATACTTCTATATTTCCATGTAATATTTAATTTAAATTTGAATTCACAGAAAGAAATTGGGAAATCTCCATGGAAAACATGCTCCTTGGTTATATCCAAGTCTTTCATAACAAGATGGAAAATGATTTATGTACAATGTTCCTTTATTTTAAATTAATCAGTCATACCTTTTGGACAGTATTTCTCAATCTGGGCTTTGATGCTTATTTTGAAATTTGATGTTTTGTCCTATTAAAATGATGAAACAGAACATCTTGCTTAATAAGTTTGTGCTATTGAAACATGTATTATTACTGCTGACTCAGTCTTGTTATTGTATATGCTTTGACTTGCTCTAACTTTCACTTTCTTTTAATTAAACAGATTGTGAGCCACTTTGTTCATTGTGCCTAGTCATTTGGGACATGGTTACACTCTGGAGTGTGTTTGCTTCCTGCAAAAGTGCTACATGTAGAAGTAAACAGATGTTGGGGCATACAAGGAGGAGTCATCCTTATGGATGCTGCCCTTTTATTCAATATGGCAGGATCTGTTACTGGCTGTCTATTTTGTACAGTCCTAGGCTAACATAAAAAATATACAAAAATCAATAAATACAGTCTCATTCTCTCAAAGCCGCAATGGTGTGTGTACTATTGGGTGGGGGTGCTCATACAAATGACTATAATATAAAGCAATATGTAAATGTCAAAAGGATGGTCCACAAAGAAGCAGATAACATAAGATAAACAGGAGTGGCTTTCTAAAGTAGGTTGAATTACAGGCCAGACTTGATTGGTGGTAAAGCATCCTGCTGGAGAAGATCTGCGTGTAAGCCAGACTGTCTGGGTTCATTTACTGATTGTGTGACTTTGTGCACATCCATTAATCTCTCTGGGCCTCAAATATCTGAAATGTTCAATAGGGTTGATAAAGACTGTTTGGAAGTATATATGTGTATACACACACACACACACACACACACACAGAATGAGAAGAATAAGAAGATATAGCTTGGTGATAGAATTCATTCTTCGATTACATAATACCCAGTACCAATAAAACAACAACAACAAAACCAACAACAAAACCAAGTAAAATCAAGTGAATGCTGAAGATCCTATTCCCATTCACAAGCAAATGTGTCTTCAGGATGTCTGCTTGCTCAAGTGTCATGGCATGCTCCATTATATTGCTTGTCAGTCTTTGGAAAGTTGATGTAAAAATGAGAAGGAAGTGATGGTGTTCAGGCCTTTGTCACACTGAAAGGACAGGAAGTGTAGTGGTAAGATTTGTTCTGTATGTTGAAATATCAAAGGAAACCCAGAGGACTGGTGAAAAGAAGGTCTTGTTCCTCTCTGAAGTGGAATGTGTACAGTTTTCCCCATTAGGTTCAAGAGTAGGCATTATGCCCCTCTATAGTTATCCCCTCAGACAACTTCTCAGAGAGAACACAGACTTCCAAAGACATGTGAGGAACTAATATCCTGGTTTATTGTAGCAGTCATGTTTTAAGCAAGGAAACAAAAATCACTGTGAGTGCTGTAAAGAAGTAGACTTACTTGAAGTGTTATACTGTATCTGGTGATAAGTGGTGAAATATCTGTGGGAGGCCATTTCCCTAATGAGGGTCATGAAGAACTCCATGGACCTTCTTCAGAATTAAAATGAATATAACTGGCAACAATCATCAAAATGCAACTTTTAAGCATGGTAGGAAATTGTCTTAAGGGCATACAGCAAATGAAACATTTATCCACGATAAAGGTCTTAAAAGAACAATGAGTTCGTGGCAATAAGGCATAACCTACTCCCTTCCACTTCTCCTCTTTCAAACCCAGCCTGAAAAAAAATTTCTACTCTGAGCCAGTGGGGCTAAGAAGATGGAGCTTTCCCCTCCCTGGCATTTCCCTACAAGGGAAAGCTGCCAGCCTTTCTTATTATCCACAGCTCTCTTTTTCTTTTGGACAGAAGTTAAACTCCATGCAAAAATGGTTGAGATTTGGGAATTCCTTTCCTGAATTGAATGTTTACTCTTATGGCAAAGATTTGCTATAGGCATTGTATACTAAGGATCCTGTGGCCCAACTGTCCTTACCCCCAGCAGGACACCATTTTCATGGTAGAAGAAGAAAATCAAATGATGAGATAGTACTGTGCTTTTCATTCATACTGTCCATAACATTCTTTGTGTATCCACCTATAGAAGTGGTTTCTGTGGGGCACTCAGTAGCCAATGGGTACTGTCCAGTTCTCTAAGAGCATTGATTTTATTTGGATCAGAGAGCAGGAACTTTCATTCAAGGCTGAAGCTCGTTCTTGTAAACAATGGAGATGTTAGTATTCAAGTGAGAGGAGACAGGTTGTTCCATATAAACAATGAGTTAAACAGTAGGTGGTCGCCAGTTTATCAGTGATAAACAAGCAAAACAAACCTCAAAGATTGATCTCATGAAAGGATCCGTGCCAAGGATCATGAATTTCACTGGATTGGGTTGTAGGGCAATTCATGAACCCATCACATTGGCAAAACCAATAGAGGGAGCTGCCAAGTAAGTAGTAGACTAACCTACAAAACTAGGCAAATGACAGAGGGAGCCTTGCTGAAACAGTCATTCCAGTATATATACCATTCTCTAAGAAACAACATCACAGGTTTTGCATTGTGAGGTAAGTGGATGCTATGAAAATAGTTCAGCCTGGTCACTAAAGCAAGCAAACACAACAATTCTGGGTGACTAACACCCAGAGTTACCACGATATGTTAAATGTTCAGTTACAAACTGAAAAAAAAACAAGACATGTAAAGAAACATACAAACGAACTATCCAGATGTGGAAAACAGTAGGCAACTGAAACACCCAGATGTTGGACTTAACAAAGGTTTCCAAGTAGCTACTATACATCTATTCCAAGAATTAAAAGAAACCACTGTATAAGAAGTTTTAGAAAATAATGGTAATGGTGTCTCTGAAAAAAAATCAATAGTGAAATATAACTTATGACAAAGAACCAAAAGGAAGTTAAGGAATTGAAAGGCATAATCACAGAAATAAAACAAGAACTAGAAAATTCAACAGTAGATTTAAACTAGAGGCAAAAGTACCAGAAAACTTTTAGAGTTTATGTAAGCCAAAAATAAAAATCTTAGATAATAAACAAAATGATAAAAATCATCTGGGGCTTTGAACAATGTGAACAATGGGGCTTTATACCATGGGGTACACAAACATATATAACAGGTGTGCAAGCGGGCATATGACAGAGAGATAAAAGAATAGTCAAATTACTTCAAGGAATATTGGCTGAAAACTCCCCCAAATTTGTATATGCACAAGACTCATACTTCAAAGCTTAATAATATCCTATTATCAAAATAAGATAAAGCAAATAGATTCACTACTAGACATGTTATGCTAAAACAGTAAGAAAAAAAAAAGGCCCAGGTGTGGTACCTCTATCTATAACCTTAGCAACTTGGGAGATAGAGACTGGAATGATCACAGTTTAAGTCCAGCCTGGAAAAACAATAGCAAGAGGCCATCTTAATAAATAAGTTGAGCATGGTTAACTAACTATGTAGAAGATTAAGGTTCAAGACTGGGGAAAAAAAAAGCAAGAACTATTCCCAATATAGGGAACAAAGATGAGAGAGAGAGAGGGAGAGGTTGATCAGGAGACATTGTTTAATGTAAGGAAATGTCGCGATGAAATGCTTTGTTGTAGAACAATATATACTAATCAAAACCTAGAACAAAAATAAAAAAGGTTGTGTAGGGGTGGCTGAATTGGTAAAGTACCAGTTTAACAAGTGCAAGGTCCTGAGTTCCAATTCCAGTATCTCCCCAACACCCTCATCAAAATAGTGAGACAAAGATGACGAATAAAACAATTCCATAGCATAGAAACAAACCCAAGACTGACAACTTTCTTCTGAGAAGAAACAATGGAGGCCAGAAGGCATTGGGATGAAAGATTAGACTCTTATGATGGCAAAAACCAGTTTTCAAAAAGTGGAGAAGCTGGACACCAGTGGCTCATGCCTGTAATTCTAGCTACTCAGGAAGCTAAAATCTGAAGATTGCGGTTCAAAGCCAGCCTTAGCAGGAATGTCCCTTAGACTCTTATCTCCAGATAACCACCAGAAAACCGGAAGCGGCACTGTGGCTCAAGTGGTAGAGTGTTAGCCTTGAGCTGAAGAGTACAGGGACAGTGCCCAGGCCCAGAGTTTAAGGCC